GGTTCATCCTTGTTTGCTTATACTTTCTTTGTAACTGCACCAATTATGTTATTGATATTGCTTTGAGTTTCTTCCAGTCTTATTTTATCATTTACAATATCTTTAATCATTTCATTACATGCATTCTTAAAACCATCTGATTTTTCTAATTTACGTCTATCACTTTCTTTAATTAAATCAAAGTTATAACCTTGTTGAGAATAAAGTGGTTTCTTTATCAATTCCTTGAACGCTTCTGAAAGTGAAGATGAAGAAATTCTTGCCACTTGAATTGGTTTAAATTCTGCTTTCATTGCTTCTTTCTGTTCATTGAACACTGGATCGAATAAAGCAACTTTAAAGAATTTCTTAGCTGGAATTTCAGGTCTCAAATTTGCATATTGACCATCAAACTGATTAACATATTGGGTAATCCATCCGGTCCCTCTTCAATAGCATTTAATTCTTCATTGAAATAAGAATATGGATTATGACGGTATGAATTAATTGGACCATTTTCACCTTCTCCAATGTATTGTTTAACAGCTTTTCCATTTTCATCAAATTGCATAGGATAACGTTCATTATATGCTTTACGTTTAGGATAATCCGTCATTGTTAATTTATACACATTTATGACTTTAATATTTCCTTGACCATCAGTAACGAAAACTTCATTTATACCATCAGGTTTTCCATTTGGACCTGTAATGTCTGCTTCGTGTGCTTCCCAATTTGGTCCATGACGTTTGGCATATGCTTGAGCTTCTGGTAATGTTAAAACGTTTCTCATTTGTTTAACATCCTTTTGAAGACCGGCAACAATGTGGACTAATTCTTTCATTCCGTCTGGAACTTTCATAGTTCTATTATATGCACCCTTTTTGTTTGTCCCTTGTTTTAATGGAACCTGTAGAAGATTTGCTATTTCTGTCATGTTTAATTATAAATAAAAAATAAAAATTAATCATAAAAAGTTAATCAAATTTAACACTTCCTTTATTTAAATCAACTATTATTTTTCCATGTTCTCCTAATTGTTGATATTGTGTGTAAAGTTCATTAATGCTCATTGGTAAATTCACTTGATAAAGCATAACGTTCAACTGTTGACGACTAAAACCACTGAAAATGAAAAGGTTGATAGATTTGATTTAATGTTTGTGCTTAATGCTTTGAAATATTGAACAGCCATAAAGAATGAACACTGAATGTGTCGACATTGAGTTAATAATGATTAAAATATGATTTCTCATTTGTTATTAGTTTTGATTTCACGGCATCATCTAGAAAAATTAGTGAATGCAAAAATTCTTTATCAAAATTTGAAATAGAAAGTGTTTCAAATAATTCATCCCGTTGTTTATCAATAATTTTATCCTCTAATCCTTGCTTCTTGATTGTATTATATAATTCTTTATACATTAAAAAGTTTTTTAAATAATCTTCTGCTTCTTCTTGTGATAAATAAATAATTGGAATTTTGATTAAATGCTTTAAAGATTCAAATGTATCATCTGAAGGTGAACCTGAACGGTTGATATAAATTAACACATGTGAATAGGGGGAAGTGTTAGCAATAATGATAATTTGTTTTAATATCGTTAATGTTTTACCTTTATTTTGTTTACCAATTGCTGCAGTGATTGAATTTAAATAACATTCAGAATATGGAATTTTCATTAATTTTTCCTTAGATAGAGCATTTCTATTATCACTCAATGCTTCATTAATCATATCATCTACGTATGTATTATATACTCTGTAATTCTTCATAAGGGGTGGATGAATTTAAATCCATTTAATCAAAAATAAATTTATAATTTTAAACATTTCTATTCATCAATATTTCATCATATGAACTTCTATACTGTGGTGGTGTACCTGTTGGATGATATTTCAAACCTTCATCCGGTGTCCATGTCCAATATGTAGTCCTAGTAAACCAAACCTGAGGAGGATTTGTCACCTTTGAACAGTAAGTGTCATTTTCACCCTGAATGATTGGATAAGCTTTCACTTGTACTGTAACTTGTGAGTTGAAAGTTTCTAATCCATCAAAGAATATACCCGCTCCATCACGTTGAACTGGAATAGTGCATAAGAATGAAGTTTGGTCTTTCCATGTTCTAGCTAATGGTGTGCCATTATCATCATTCAGTGGTCTAGTTAATGAGTCCTCGTATTCTTCCGTGCATTCATTCACTCCATCTAAATCAGAAGCTTGAAGCATACGTGTAAAGAATATGTCACCCACTGTGGTCATCGCTTGATCGGGGAAGTTTCTGGAATCTATAGTGACCTGAAGACCTCGAAGCATTGGATTTTCTAAAACTGTTCTTTGCATTGCATTCTTCGGAAATGTTAACACAACATCTGTAACATTATGAAGAGCGTATGAGAAATCTGAGCTAATACCTTCAGGAGTGATGCAACCTCCATTTAGTGAACGAACGTCAATATGTTGAGCTGGAATCATGAATGGATCTTCCTTACTGAATAAACGTGGTATTGCTTTAACTGATTCTTCAATTAAACCGTATCCTGGTGTAATGCATTTATCCTCTAAAACTTCCATCTTTGTGCATGAAATAATAACGTCATCAACTGTTGCGTCAGCAGATGTAGCGGCTAAGCTTGTAATTAATTTGGCAGGAAGTCCGATTTGTTGGAATTTGCGATCATATTTATAAACATGATTCATAATCTTTTCATAATTTTCATCAGTTATCTTTTCATAAACGTAATTTTGTAAATCAGCAACTCTTAACGGGTCAACCTGACAAAATACTAAAGTATCCCTGAAAACATAATATTTAAGAATGATTTCACCAAATGATTTAGGATAATCATCGAACGCCTGAAATGCTAACAAATCATTTACCGGAATAATCATATCAAAAGTGACATCAACTTCTTCATTTGCTTTCTTGAAAACTTCTGAAGGGTCAATATATTTACCACATACTGAGTTATCATATTTTTGAACATTATTATATAACGAATGAACAAACTTTTTAACTTTCCTTTCTGATTTTGGTTTATATGTTGCAAATGCGAAAGATTCACGGGCGCAATCCATCTGAAGATAACCGGCATCACCTCTTTCGGTTTCTACTTCTAATTGTTTAAAGCTTTGATTTGATGATTTGTAACCAACGAATAAACGCATGCATTTAAAAGCGGCATCACATGTGAAAGCTTTATTTGAAACTAGAGTTGCTTTAACTTTGCGTTTAATATATGTGTCACCTAATTGGTTCACATCATGAGCCGGATTTGTAATTCTTAAATGAGTTTGTTTATCATCAAAATATGGAGCATCAGAGTCATAGCATGAACTTTCAAGTTCTCTATAATATCTTCTACCGTCATTCTTTGCGAATATTTCATTTATCTTTTCGAATGAATGAAACACATTTCCATTAATCGGTTTAGTGTTTGGCACCAAATAGTTAGTCGTCATTTATTAATAAATAAAAAATCAAAATTAAAAGATGAAAATGAATTTTTAATTTTAATGAAATAATCAACTATGGCTGCAGGATTCTTTAAAAATTATGGGATAAAGTAAAAAGAGGAGCGCATAAAGTTTGGGAAACAATGAAGAAAGGAGCAAATTGGATATTTAAGAATAAAGAAGCAATTAGTGACGTTGCTGAATCAATAACGCCAAAAGCTGCCCCAATAAGAGAAATATTAAATAAAGGAGAAAAAGTTTATCAAAGACTTCAACCGATACTAAGATAAAAATAATATTTATTTATTTTTCCACTATCTACCCCTATTTTATTAAGTATTCCTTCAGCATTCCACCAATTGCGTTACCTGCTTGTGCTCCCATCGCCGGATTACCTGCTTTAGTACCTAATACTCCACCTATGATAGTTCCTGCCGTTTTCGCTACTGGTGCCAAAAAGTTTGCAACGGGTTTAATAATATTTTTATGAACCCAACCCGCTTTCTTAATTCCATCCCATAATTTTTTAAAGAATCCTGCCGCCATTTCTGATTTAATATTAATTAAAAAATATATTTCATCACTTATATTCTAATTTTTATTTAATGATAAATGAAACCAATTTTAAAAATAAATGAAACAGAGGAGGAAGAAATAAATGAAAGTGAAAATGTTCAACAAAAAATAAACGTTGTTAAACCAATTACTGAAATAAAAATTTTTTCATCTGTTGAAGAATTTAATGACTATTATGCTAATAATAAAAAATTATTTGAAGAATTGACAACGTGTAAATTGAATAAAATGTTTAAAGTTGATGGATTCAAAATTTCAAAAATAAAAGGAGTGGTTAGTTTGAAATCTATTCCTCAATCAAGAATCACCTCATTAATGAAAATAGATGATTTAACAAAAAGAATAGAAATTATTGAAGAGCGAATAAATCAAATTATTGATTTCATAAATCATGACTCGTTGAGCCCGGGTCCTTAAAGCCCATCACTGAGTTCAAGGTTATATTCATCAAATATTTCATTATTAAATGCAACTTCTGCTAGTTTATTTATTTTTTCAATACGATCATTTGAAAGTCTATCGTTTAATTTTTTCTGAAGTTTTTCATTTTCTAGTTCTGAAACTTTATTTGGATGATATGTAAATTCATGAAATTCTTTGGCCTCGGTTTTGATCATTAATTTACAAAGAACTTTTGTGGTTGGAATTCGTTTGAACCATTTATTAGTTATATTCGTTATATATTCAATATCTGGAATTAATTCCCAAATTTTTGCATTTTCAATTAATTTATTATCAAATGCAAAAGCAATGGGTTTAATATTATGTTTACCTTTATAATATAAACTTTCTACATAATCATCGAAATAAACATCTACTTGTTTAACATTTTCAAGAATTGGTGAAAGAGCATCCATTAATTGATTGACGGTTACGAATCTTGATCCACTCATTTTCTTACGAATTAAAAAAATAAATTATTCAAAAATGTCAGAAGAAAATATTTAAATAAATTATTTAAATTTTTTTACTCTATTCAAGAATTTTATTTTTGATATAACTCATTGAATTCAAAATTTTTTAAAAAATTGACACCATATATAACCAGTAGAAATTCTGCCAGTAGAAGCTTTACTAGTAGAAGTTCTGCCAGTATAAACTCTACCAGTAGAAGTTCTGCCAGTATAAACTCTACCAGTAGAAGTTCTGCCAGTAGAAGTTCTGCCAGTATAAACTCTACCAGTAGAAGTTCTGCCAGTATAAACTCTACCAGTAGAAGTTCTGCTAAAGTATTCAATTTTGAGGGAAACAGTAGAAGTTCTGCCAGTATAAACTCTACCAGTAGAAGTTCTGCCAGTAGAAGTTCTGCCAGTATAAACTCTACCAGTAGAAGTTCTGCCAGTATAAACTCTACCAGTAGAAGTTCTGCTAAAGTATTCATAAACACCTTTTTATATCTTATTTACATCTAACATGCACCAATTTATTTTATAACTTTATTAATACTAAATTTTATTTCATACAAAAAGTAAAAATTCATAAGTTATATATTAATTTAATAAATTATATTATCATTTATAATAAAATTTTTCGAAATGCAGATAAATTTTAACATGTTCGAAATGAAACTATTATAAAATATATTCTTTTTATTAATGGTAATATAGGAATTGTAGGAATAAAAACTTTTTATAAATTATTCATAAATTTTTAAAATCGGTTTCATACAAAATAAAAATAAATTTTCATAAATGTAAGACATGAATTTTTAAAGTTTATTTTTTTTATTTCATTATGTATGGGCTGAGTGTAAATGTCTTACAATTTTGAAAATTTTTAAGGGTATAGTAAACTCAAAATTCTAGAGTTTTGAGAGTGCCAATAAACTCTATAGGCCTATATATATCTATATTTTAAAGGAGAGGTTACGCCATAATATTTGATATTATAAATTATTAATTCAAAATAAAAGTAGAAAATGAAACTAATTTTATTCTAACCTATATAAATATATCAATAATCTAAAATGATTATAGTCTGAACTATATTTTACCAGATTATCAAATATAAGAGAAATGAAATAAGGCATAAAAATATCATAGCATAATTATTGGATAAATGCATTAATAAATTATTTATATCATAATGAGAAAAAATCAAAATAAGAAAATGAGCATAATAATAATTTAATTAAAAACAAAAACAATAAATAAAATGTAATTTTCGTTAATCAAAGTCATCAATGTCTTCGTCTTCTGATTCCCATTCGGACTTGAAAACTTGATAATCTCCTCCTGGTACACTCTGAATGGATTTTTTGTATTTGTTCTGTTTTTTAGAACCTTTTGTAACAGTTTTTTGTTTCAATATCATTTTGGAGTAACAATTCTCTTCAAATGATTTGACACAATCTTCTGGAAGTGGGGGAAGATGTAATGCTTTTTGTATATCTCCGAGAAAATGCTCTGGATCATTCCATTCTAAGATTGCAACGTTAACTCTAATGTTAATGTTCTTCCAGGCTCTTGATTTGTCCAAATAGCATGCAATTTTGGAGTTAAACGCTTCATTCATGCAGGTAGATCCAATGGAAGAAACTTTGGAAACTATGGGTGTCCATTTGTGAACCCAGTCATAGAGCATGAATTGAAGTTGGATCGAATTGACACCTTTTTGCCATTCAAAGCATTTGTAATTGTGCGGTTCGCAAAAAGAATGATTGCCTACGTAATGGTAGACACAATTCTCACACATTTTCGTACGTTTGTCAATATTTTCTTCGGCAAAACATGACCAAAGCCACATACTTAGGCTTGCATTCAGACCCCAGAAAGGTCTCTCTATTTTTTCAATCTTCTGAGTCTTGTCGTAGTTAGTATACATATCTTCAGTACGGTGGCACTGCGCGCCATCTTACCAAAGATATGTCAATCTGACACTTTACAAAACCACTAACGTATATTTTACATCACAGATGCAATATTTCTAATAACCTTAAACTATTTCTGCCACGTAAAGTATTTATCACATAAACCACCTCATCTCACCTCTCTGTACGTTATATATTGTGCGCAGGTCATTGCCCATGGCAACTCCCCACGACACAATGCACGTGCATGAAAAAATAAACGTTCTCACTAACGTTCTCACTAACGTTGTCACTAACGTTCACACTAAGGTTCTCATTTACAAAAGTATTGCAGCGCTTCCCATTGCTGTGCTTCACACAATAGTTCATATTCTTCAGTGTCCCTAGCTGTCCCTCCTTTTTATATAACTCCATGACATTTATAATCTCGCGAAACTTAACAGGTAGCATAACAGATTAAAATCAGATGAGGTTTTGAACCAAAATTTCTAAGCAACGTTGTCAAGGATTTTGAGGAACTAGGGACAGAGTGTGGCAAAGTCCAAGATTTAATTTATCTTCATCTGTTTCATCAGCTATCTCATCTAATATGCCAATATTTTATTCATAACTCGTGGCAAACTCACTAACTTTCATTATGTTCATCTGCATGCTTCATCTGATAGAAAGTATGACTTTCATTAACTCTGTGAGATAATGAAAACTACTAGGGACAGAGACCATGGCAAAGTTCATGATTTAATTTATTCTCTCACTAACAACAACCACAAACTCCAACACTAACGACAAGTACTAACCTCAACACAAATGACAAACACTAACAACAACCACAAACTCCAACACTAACGACAAGTACTAACCTCAACACAAATGACAAACACTAACAACAACCACAAACTCCAACACTAACGACAAGTACTAACCTCAGCACAAATGACAAACACTAACAACAAACACAAACTCCAACACTAACGACAAGTACTAACCTCAGCACAAATGACAAACACTAACAACAAACACAAACTCCAACACTAACGACAAAAATAAATGTCCTCACTTCTTAACAAAGTAATATGTGCTTCTTACACCACCATAGCTCAAACGTTTCTTTTCAAACATCGATTGAAACTTATTTTGAGCCATTGGCTTTAGTCTCTTTTTCTTCAAATACGCCAAGAAATCTTCTTCACATCTTTTCACTTCATAGCCTTCTTTAAACTCCTCCTTGTTAAGTTCTATGAAATCCTTTATCTCATTCTTTGTTGCAATGACCTTCTCACTGTTCTCATGAACTATTTCAACACTGTTCTCATGAACATGTTTTCTAACATGGAGGATTTCATTAGATATAAATATTCTTCCTTCATTTCATTCTATACACAATTTACATCATAGACGATTTAATAGATATAATACTTTACTGTTTCATTAGATATACACATTCTTCCCTAAACATTATTTTAGTTAAAGTCCATCAAATATTTTTAGGATACTTTCACCAAATAATATTTATATCTAATGAAATCCTCCATGTTAGAAAACATGTTAGAAAAGGTGTTAGATCTAACATTCTAACATAAACATTATTTTTGGATCATTTACGCTCATTACGATGAAGTCATGACAAAGCATATACGTTCATGTTTGACAAAGCATATACGTTCATGTTTGACAAAGCATATACGATGAAGAAGTCATGAAAATTCATGAGGTGAGAAAAGAGGTGAGAAAAGAGGTGAGATCTCACCTCTTCACCTAAAATATATTTTTGTCTGATTTACGCTCATTACGATGAAGAAGTCTTGACAAAGCATATACGATGAAGTCATGACAAAGCATATACGTTCATGTTTGACAAAGCATATACGATGAAGAAGTCATGAAAATTCATGAGGTGAGAAAAGAGGTGAGATCTCACCTCTTCACCTAAAATATATTTTTGTCTGATTTACGCTCATTACGATGAAGAAGTCTTGACAAAGCATATACGATGAAGTTTCGACAAATCATTTACGATGAAATCATGACAAAGCATATACGCTCATTACGATGAAGAAGTCATGACAAAACATGTACGATAAAATCATGACAAAACATTTACACTCATTACGATGAAGAAGTCATGACAAAGCATATACGATGAAATCATGACAAATCATTTACGTTCATGTTTGACAAAACATAAACGAAGAAATCATGACAAAACATATACGATGAAGTCATGACAAAACATATACGATGAAGTCATGACAAAACATAAACGATGAAGTCATGACAAAACATATACGATGAAGTCATGACAAAACATATACGATGAAATCATGACAAAACATATACGATGAAGAAGTCATGAAAATTCATGAGGTGAGAAAAGAGGTGAGAAAAGAGGTGAGATCTCACCTCTTCACCTAAAATATATTTTTGTCTGATTTACGCTCATTACGATGAAATCATGACAAAACATATACGAAGAAGTCATGACAAAACATATACGTTCATGTTTGACAAAGCATATACGATGAAGTTTCGACAAAACATGTACGATGAAGAAGTCTTGACAAAGCATATACGAAGAAGAAGTCATGACAAAACATATACGATGAAGTTTCGACAAAACATATACGATGAAGTTTCGACAAAACATATACGATGAAGTTTCGACAAAACATGTACGATGAAGAAGTCTTGACAAAGCATATACGATGAAGAAGTCATGACAAAACATATACGCTCATTACGATGAAGAAATCATGAAAATTCATGAGGTGAGAAAAGAGGTGAGAAAAGAGGTGAGATCTCACCTCTTCACCTAAAATATATTTTTGTCTGATTTACGCTCATTACGATGAAGAAGTCATGACAAAACATATACGATGAAATCATGACAAAACATAAACGAAGAAATCATGACAAAACATTTACACTCATTACGATGAAGAAGTTTCGACAAATCATTTACGTTCATGTTTGACAAAGCATATACGATGAAGTTTCGACAAAGCATATACGTTCATGTTTGACAAAGCATATACGTTCATTACGATGAAGAAGTCATGACAAAACATGTACGATGAAATCATGACAAAACATATACGATGAAGTTTCGACAAATCATTTACGTTCATGTTTGACAAAGCATATACGTTCATTACGATGAAGAAGTCATGACAAAGCATATACGATGAAGTTTCGACAAATCATTTACGTTCATGTTTGACAAAGCATATACGATGAAATCATGACAAAACATTTACGCTCATTACGATGAAGAAGTCATGAAAATTCAATGAGGTGAGAAAAGAGGTGAGATCTCACCTCTTCACCTAAACATTATTTTTGGGTCATTTACACTCATTACGATGAAGAAGTCTTGACAAAGCATATACGAAGAAGTCATGACAAAACATATACGAAGAAATCATGAAAATTCAATGAGGTGAGAAAAGAGGTGAGATCTCACCTCTTCACCTAAACATTATTTTTGGGTCATTTACGCTCATTACGATGAAATCATGACAAAACATATACGAAGAAGTTTGACAAAGCATATACGAAGAAGTCTTGACAAAACA